GAGGTCCCACCAGTTCTTGCTTGCAGGCAAATGGTATTTCTTGCAGATATTCCAATGCACTATTGTTGCTACTTTGTCATGCTGCTATTTGTGGTCAGTCTGTGCGATCTTCTTGAAGCAGCTAACTAGGCAGTCCACTGTTTCTTCAGCTTCTTTGCAGAGGTGGCATTTGTTGTCTGTTGCTGTCTTCTCAATTCTGGCTTTCTATGCTTTGTATCTTAAGGCTTGGTCTTCTGCAGCCAGAATTAGCCCCTCTGTCTCCTTCTTCAACTTTCCCACTCTTAGCCATTGCCAGATCTTCTTGTTACCTGCTTTGCCCGCAATTTTTTTTGTGCACTGGCCATGTAATACTTTGCCTTGCCATGCCTCTTTTCTATTCTTCATTTGGTCTTTCTTGTAGGCCAGTATGGTCTCTTCAGTATTCAGTAAGCCTTCATGGTGTACCGGCTTCAGTGCAACTTCTTCACTGTCCTTCAGATATTCTTCTAATGCCCTTTTTTCTTCTTCAACTGTCTGTTGCAGTTGCAACATTCCACACCCAGCTATGCTCCTTGGTAAGTAGAGTCTGTCAACTTCACTGCCTGGATGAAGGGCTTGATTCATTGTCATTTTTCAGATCTTCCTATCCAGGGCTTCTAGTTCTGCTTGAGTCCAGTCCACTATTCCTGCTGTGTATCTAATGACTGGAACTGCCCAGGTGTTAATTGCCTTGATGGTATTTCCTCCACTGAATTAGGACTTTAAGGTCTTCTTCACTCTCATGATATATTCACTACTAACCTTCTTCTTGACTTCAGTATGCTTGATATTGTCAGTTTGAAGGATGCCCAGGTATTTGTAGTGATCTTCTTCATCCAGACTTTTGATGTTATTTCTATAGGGCATCTTGATTCCTTCAGTTTTCACTATTTTCCTCCTGTTGATGGTCAGGGTGGCACATTTGTCCAGTCCAAACTCCACTGCAATATCTTGGCTGTATATTGGGACAGTGTTGAGCAGCAATTCTATTTCAGATGGTTTTTCTCCACAGAGCTTCAGACTGTCCATGTTAAGTAGGTGGGATAGCCTTGCAGATGTTTTTAATGTTTGATAGCCATGGCCTGACA